ACAACAGTGCTTTATTGATACGATACTTGTTAAGGCCCCAGGCTAGAAACCAGGAGACGGCGAGTTCTAGTCCTGCCTTAGGGACTAGAAAGCTGGCTGGGTGACTTTGGGCCAGTCCCCCTCTTTCACCCAACTCACCTCACAGGGTTGTTGTTGTGGGGAAAATAGGAGGAGGAAGGAGCATTAGAAAAATCTGTCTCATGTGTAACCTGCACCCACATAGCTGCCCTGCCCTCCCCCGCCTCCACCCCAATTTAAATCCTGCATCAGCTCAGCCACTCTCTGCATCTGACGAAGGGAGATGCGGGTCACGAAAGCTTCTTCCATTTAATACGGTGGCTTAGAAAAGGGGCCACCGGGCTCCTTCCGATCTTTGCCGCCACAGACTAACGCGGCTCTCCTCCTACAATGCCTTCTTTTTATCTGAAGACAATTGTGGTTGCAACTTAAACATGAATTGGCCCTACCCCTAAACACAGCACACTGCTGGCTGACATTCAGCTTGTGAATATGATAGCAAGACCTATTTCCGAGCACTGTTACCTAGACAGGTGTCCACATCCTACACCTGTGGGCTGGAGGTCTGTTTCAGAAATGTGTAGCTCCCCCTTGGCCTCTGATACGTCTCAGTCTGCTTCAGCCCCAAAGTCCATCTTGGCAAGATCCATCTGAGGTTTGTTTCTGTCTGTCAGAGTGTTGGCTATCCCACTCCAAAGCCTCTCCCAATTCTTCAGGCACCTTCCGTCCGAAGCCGGAGAGGGACCCCCATCCCAGAGGTAACGGGAATAGCTTACGCCGTTTGGTGGAACTGGTGATTAGGACCAGATCAATGAGGGTCTGATGGATGTTTCTTTGGGTCTTCCGCCGTTCTTCCTCAGCTCCTAGTCAAACCTGCTATTCTGGTAACGGGACCAACTACAAGGGCCTTGCCCAGAAGACCATTGCTGGGGACCATTGTCTCCCGTGGAGCTCTGATCTCTTTTACTACGGCCTTCAAGCAAACACGGTGCAGCTGGGACTGGGATCACATTCATACTGCCGGTAAGGGGCCAGAGGAGTAATTCTTGCATGAGAACAGTTTGGGATAAGATGCTTGTACTTAGCATGTATTTTTTGTGACTCAGAAACTAGAGATACGTACCACACAGGCACACGTAACTTACCTAGTCATCATGCTGTACCCGCTGGGGCAGAACAAGGTGTGAGGTAAGAGAAAGGAAGGAAGGAAACACGGCTCAGACTCTTGAGCCTTCCACCCAAAAGATCATCATCGGCCTCATCGTCTTTGTATCCGCTAGTTTTCTGGACCTTTTTCATAAATTATCAGATCAATCCTGCTTTTAGATGTAGGTTTATAGGATCAAAGAGTTGGGAGGAGCTTTAGGGTCACCTAATCCAACTCCCTACTCAGCGCAAGGTCCACTAAAACATCTCTGGCAGATGAGGATCCAGTTTCTGCTCAGCGGCCTCCAGCAAGGGAGAACTCACCACTTTCACGCGGCAGCCTCTACCACAGGACAGTCAGGAAGTTCCTCCCGATATCAGGCCTGAATCGACCTCCTTGAAGTTGTAACCCATGTTTCTGCTCCTGCACTGTAGGTCAGCGTTTCTTCTACATGACATCCTTTAAGATGTTTGAAAACTGCTGTTATATCTCCCCAGCAACCTCTTCTGTGGGCTAAATATACTTGTTTAGCCATTATGACCGTTCCTCACGGGGCTCCTCCCCTTGGTAGCCCTCCTCTGAACTTGCTCCAGTTTGTTAATGTCCTTGTTAGACCATGGGCCCCAGTACTCCAAATGGGATCTGACCAGAGCAGAGCAGAGCAGAGCAGAGCAGAGCAGAGCAGAGCAGAGCAGAGCAGAACAATGACATCCCCCGGTCTGGATCCCGTATTCCCTTCAAGGCACCCCAAGGCAGCATTTTCCTTTTTATTAGGCGCATCGCACCTTTAACTTGTCAGCAAGAACAGCCAGACCCCTTTCACACATAGTATTGCCAAGCCAGGTCTTACCCATCCTACTTCCTTGACATTTCCCCCTGTTAAATTCCATCCATTCATTTCAGTTTGCTGCTCATACCTGACCAGATCTTTCTGAAACTTCCCTCTCTTTCCTCCAAAGGATTAGAAAGGGATCATAATCTGAATAATTATGCAGAAGCTAATGAAGAAGTATGCCAGATTCAACTGGCTAAGAGTAGCAACAAGAGAACTAAACTCCGTGAAGATTTCCACTGCAATGGACCTGGGGATTAAGTCCCAAGGGGTAGCTAGAGGGCAGCTCTGAGGAAATTAAAATCTAATATTATTTGTCTTCAAGAAATCAACCCATCATAATCAATCAATCAATCAATCAAACAATTGCTCAGATATTTTTTGGGCCCCCATTATCATACATCTTGCTCTATAACTGTTAATGGTGCAAACCCATTTAATTGAACAGAAGTCAAGAAACACTCTTGAGGTAGATTTGTTATTTCTAAGAGGATAGATAGGTAATGATAGATAAACTAAATTTCCTCCATATATTCCTAATTCCAAGCATTGGTCTTTGATTTCCTCTATTTAAAAAAATTGGAAAACTTGAAAAGACTCTCCCTGCTAAATTAGAGAAACTCACTAAACAATTGGCTTCTAGCATCAGAACTAAAAAATTATCCTTGTGAATTCTTCATTCAGCATTTATAAGTGAAACATTTATATTTTTCACTTTTATCCAGCCAAAAATATACTTTTTATTCTCATAGATTCTTCTTACAGCTAGTCCTTGGGTTTCGACGGCAGTTGGGACCAGGGTTGCTATTGCTAAGAAATGCAGTCGTAAAGTGCAACATCACATGACCACTTCACTTAGCAACGGCAATTCAGGCAGTCCTGGTTACCGTCGCAACTCCAGGACCGTGCAGGTCATTAAGCGGGAAGCCATGGGAATCCCAGGTAAGGAGCACAGGGGTGCTGCAGGGGGTGGGGGAGGCCCTGGGAGGGCCAGTGGAGGCCGCATGCGAATTGGGGGGTGCAGTACAAGTGCAGTCCTCAAATTTTGGAGCAAACATGGGTGAGCATATAGAGGCTGAGGGAAGGAGGGCGCAGCATGGTGCACAGGAGGGCGGGGGGGCGACTTACTGTAGTGACTTGCAGCCTTCCCTGCCGGCTTCCCCATTGACTTTGATTGTGGGAAGCTAGCAGGAAAGGTCGCAAATGGAGATCCCATGACTGCAGGACGTTGCAACCGTTGTAACCAGTTGGCAAGTGCCCAAATCATGATCACATGACCGTGGGGGCACTGCGATAGCCAGAACTTTGAGGACCAGTCGTAAGTCCGCCTTGTTCAGTGCTATTGAATGGTTGCTGAACGTGTGGTCGGTAAGTGTGGATTATGTGTATTCAAGAATTGATTATATAAACTTCCTCAGAGCTATGAAATAGATAGTTTGGATCCAATCCTATTCCAGAATTGCAGTAACTGATTTTAACTTTTTTAGAGTTGTGCTAGCTTTCTCTGAATGGTCTATGGGTCTTCCTATATTTACTGATCTTCTATTGAAAACATCACTTCTGCGCTACAAGACTCACTGTTAGATGATTTGGGATACAGTAACATGTATATTAAGAGGAACTGTAAATTTTGAAACCAAATCCTGGAAAACCATTAGATTGAGAGAAAAACAGACATTTGTTAAATAAATTAAGGATTTTAAGGAGCAACACAAAGGGAAAAACTCTGAGAACCTATAAGGCCTAAGCTGATAAGAGGAGAGTAAGTAGAACTTTCAGCCATGGAGCAGATTACAAAGTCAAAGTTAGATATGAAACAAATACAAATTATTTATTTATGCTCCCAGGTTCAGGCTTACCCCTTTTCTGATAGGTCCCTCCAGCCTGTAGGGCCCAGTAAACTGTGAGTTGCTGTAGTCCAATTTCTTGAATTATCGCAAGTAAACCATTTGAAACAGACTGTTGGCACAACTAGCGATAGCCATGACATTTTTGTCTCTTTTCAGAAAATTACTGGTTTAGTTCAGGACTAATACAAATTATTTATTTATGCTCCCAGGTTCAGGCTTACCCCTTTTCTGATAGGTCCCTCCAGCCTGTAGGGCCCAGTAAACTGTGAGTTGCTGTAGTCCAATTTCTTGAATTATCCCAAGTAAACCATTTGAAACAGACTGTTGGCACAACTAGCGATAGCCATGACATTTTTGTCACTTTTCAGAAAATTACTGGTTTAGTTCAGGACTAATTAAATCTAATCCAGTTCCATCCTGCTGTCACTTTAATAAGCAGTCCAAACCTTGGTGTGATAAGGATTGCATTCAAGCCAAGGCTGTTCTATTCAGCCTATAGAAACATCCGGTTCTGTAATGATTCTCCCTCTTGTGACATTTTTCATCTGCTACAAAAGGAATATAGTGAGAAAAAGAAAAACATATCAAAGAGGTCGTTGCTGTCCAGAAGAACAGGAGCCTAGGGAAGGCCCGCGTAACTAAAGGAGCCGCACAACCCTCCTGTCCCGGGCCTGGGAGAGCAACCCCCAGCCATAAGGTTGCCGTTGAGAAGCTGACACTGGAAATAGCCCTTCAACAGACACAGAGCCGATAGGAATCTAAATTGTGGTCCAGTTGTTTAGACTTCAGTTGTTGATTGCCTCCTCTGAGGTAGGCGAAATTGCTGTAGGAAAAGCAAAAAAAGCGTATTTAGGAAGCCTGAAAGGAGTATGTACACCCTCTTAATACAACTGTTTGCCATCCTAAACAAATTCTTAAAGATATGTGGGAAGCAGACTTCAAAGAAGCCACACCTCGATTAATGTGGGAAGAACTGTAGCAGGAAAAAAAAACTTTCCGAGTCATTCCAACATTTATTTGCTAGAGAGAAGTCTTTCAGGGTGCTTTATAAGAGGTGCTAGGCTCCTGTGCAGCGTAACTGATGTACAGCCAGGCTCCCAGAATTGTTGGGAAGGCCGCGGACAGGAGCACGGCTGGCCGCGTGGCTGAGAAGCGAGGCAAATGGTGGGAGGAGGAACCTCTAGAGCAGCCAGGAGAAGAGGGCCACCGAATCGGGTGGCCTCAGAGCCCAGGCACCGCTGCTGAGGGACGACGGTCCCTGGACAGAAGAGGAGGGGGGCCCCACAAAGCCGGCCCAGACGAAAAGAAGCCCCTCGCGGATCCACGGGCGTCTCCTGACCGCCAAGGACCCAATGTGGAGCTTTTTCCCCACACCTCTCCCTGACATTAGCAAGTTCTAAGTCAAATTCACGCAGAGAGGAGGGAGCTGAGCCTGGCAGCCAACGTGTGGCTTGAAGAGCTAATTCCTCCCCTGTTTCCAACGCCTTAGAAGCCCAGATGAGGACGAACGGCCGTGGTGCTATGTCATCAGGGATGGCGGGCTCTCTTGGGGATACTGCAATATTTCATTATGTGGTAAGTCCCTTGTAATCGGCAGGATTCAACTTGCATTATGCTGCTAAATTAACACAAGCGGAGATAGAAGTGACCTTAAGTAAATGTAAACTTTAAAAAAATACTGCGGTTACGAGTCAGTTTGTGTGATGCCAGAAACTTCCAGAAAAACCACTGCAGGAGGAGCACTTTGCTGGGTCAGGTCCACCCTCCTGCCCCTCTGCCCCTGCCCCTCAGACTCTGCTGGGCAGAAAACCGAGGGAGGCCCCTGGCTGGGATGCTGGGAGGAAGGGGTGACCCCGCAGCCAGCCTCCTTCCTTTTAACCCAAGGGCTCATCGATTACCTCCCAAAACAAAGGCTCGCTTTCTGCATAGCAGGCGTATGTGAATCGGTCAAGACTGAGTGCAGCGAGATTCAAAAGGGGGAAGATTTGGTTCAGACTTGGATTACAGATTCAAAGACAGCAAGGCCTGATTCAAAACAGCTCAAGATCTGATTCAATAAAAGACTTGAACACAGGTTAAAACAGGGCGGGGTCAACTGTCTGCAGGGGCTTCACTGTCTGGCAGAATGGGATGGAAAGAGTGGGGGTATCAAGGACATTAACCCTGCAACGTTTCAGCCAGTTTCAAGGATTTCACCACCATAAAATTTTGAAATATTCCCCAGCGGCTCTTTTAAAGTGGTGGCAGCTGGAAAGAACAGCCCAGCGGCCTCCCAATTAGCCAGCAAGAGACCCGCATGCTAAGGGAGCCGACGCAGGTTGTATCCCAGTTTTAAAATTAAAACCTTGCAAAAATGATTGAGAGAATTACAAAAGATCTAAGAGCCCGGCAACCTCTGACTGGTTGCTTTTCTCAGCTGGCTCATTGGCAAGGTCAGCCTCTCCTGCTGCAGGTTCAAGAAAGTCTGAAAGAAGTGTGGGTGTGATCACTGGTAGAGACAGGCGGAGACGGCAGCCCAGTCCAAAGGCGAGCAGCCTCAGAACCCCCCACCCCATCAGAGCCTCTCTGTCCCTCCAGCTGAACCTGCTTAAGCATCTTCTAGTCAAAAGCTGGGGGAGACGAGGACTACAGTGTCCCGGCACGACATTCCGATCAGCCAGATTTAGTGCAGTGACAACATCCATGTCAATTATCAGGGAGACCATCACCCCTCTCAGTCCCCCCTCAATATATGGAAGACAAACTGCAACAGTGTTTGAGACTCCGCAAAGCCAAAACTCCAAAACGCCTTCTAATCTCTCCTAAGCCATTTGAAGGCGCTTAATCTGAGCCAGGACTTTATCCTGATTTGAACTGCGTTAGAATCAAACTGAAGCTTAATTAGTCATAGGACTCCACCTGATACCTCCCCAGTAGTAACCGAATAGGAGCTGTGTGGAGGCTCAGAATAATGGGGGAGGAACTGTATGAAAAACAGAGATCAGATTGTGGAGCACCAACAGGACGAAAGGGGTCTGGAAATGACTTCAGACTTTCTCGGGTGTTTTCTCCTGATCGTCCTGGGGTGACCCAAGAAAGGGGTGTTAGAAATTCGTCTTCTGCTACATTGCAGAAGTCAGAGCAAAGAGAGATTCCTTCGCGCTACAAGAATATTCTGAAAAGCAGACAGTGACAATTCAGGAAGGAAATAAGGGGTTCGCTCTCTTTCAGAAGGCAGGCGGAGAACGCCGCCGCCGCCGCCGCCGCCAGAAGTCTCGGATGAGTTTGCCGCTGCCAGGAGGTCGTGCGGGAAGAGGCACAAGAAGCAGAAATTCGTGAGACCCAGGATCATAGGCGGAGCGTCTGCCTTGCCAGGATCCCATCCCTGGCTGGCCACCATAAACATCGGGAAAAAATTCTGCGCTGGGAGCCTCATCCGCTCTTGCTGGCTGGTGACATCGGCGCACTGCTTTGCCAACAGGTAACGCCGCCGGTCTGCTCTGAGGGTCGTTCACGGCGCCCCGCTCCGCCCTTCTTGCACGCCCTCTGCGTGTGCGGAAGGGATTCCCCAAACTCAGAAACGGGGCCGCGGGGCCAGAGCCGCCCCCCCCGCTGCCGCCGCGGGAGCTCCCGGGTGCGGCGTCCGGCTCGGCGCCTGCGAGACGGGGCGGCCCGCAGGCAGGGGGCCCAA